AAAAAAAAAAGAAAGGGAGAGGAGTTGCCCATTTGTAGTGGGATGGAGACCTGGAGCCCAGTCTTCCTCAGACAGCTCCAGAGAGTCCCTTTGGCTCCATGAGGCACAGTTTAAAAACTCCAGGATGGGCCTATCTGTAACATATCCCCCTCTACTTCGAAAGTCATGTGACTGTAATCATTTTCCAAGCTTTGACTCTGTTGGAGGTAACGCCAAACACTCATCCTAAAACACATTTTCAGCAAGTTCTATAACTAATTGGTATTTGTAAGCACATCCAGTCAAAAAAAAATGCAGGGGGGAAGGGCTCTATTAAAGTGGGACATGCTCAACATTTTGAAAGCATTATGTTTGTGACCCAAAACTCAGGTTCCAAATGCTGTATGACTGACTTAAAAATTGGATGTGTCATTATTCAGGTGATCCTCTGATCACCGGAATAATGCCACAGAAGAATGCCCCTAAGCACTATAAAAGAAAAATGAACAGGTGCTGCTTAGGGGACAGCAATTAGACTTAACCAAAACCTGCTGATGTTGTCATGTGGAAACATAAAACCAATATTAATTTCAAAGGGAGACAGAATTCCACAGCATTCACCAGTCCTTTGCAGCTGTATTAAGTGGAAGACCAACCATGGTTAGGGTCCATTTAGAGTAATTTAAAAGACAGTTTATGCAAGAAAGCATAGGGGACAAAAATGCATGATTACTAGAACTTTCTTGACAATTCTGTCTTCTTGCCCATTCCCAGCTAAGCTTCCATGTTTTTCTTTTTCACTGTGTAATGACCCTATCTGAGCCACTACAAAGGCCACATCATGAACTCTGCCACTGAGAGCTCAAGTAGAAAGAGCCCATTGCAGCAACTTCAGGGAACCCATGAAGGTCTATAATTTTGCCATGTCCTGAGGACCGTAAGTTTCTGCAGGCTGTGATGTACCTGGGATAACCCTGCCCTTGGCCCTCAAGCCCTCTCACTTCTTTCTAAGATTGTCATGCGGCCATAAATCTGCAAAGCACCAGAAGTCATGTGTGGCTTTGTGTTTAATCATGATTCCAATTGTGCATCTAAATCCTTTTGATTCTAAAAAGATCATCTCAAATCCCACATCTTGTTTGATTCCATCCCTGACAACCAAACCCATGACGCCTTCCCCTCTTGCCTTATTGCCTCTGAGTTAGTCAAGCATTGTTAATGGTTGCTAGTGTTAAACTCTAGCTAGGTTGTATCCTCTCCCCTCACCGAAATAAAATAGAAAGCTTATAGACTTTGATGTCATAAGCATCAGGATTTCAATCTAGGCTCTGCCCCTTATTAGCCGATGACTCGCATGTCACCATGAACTTCAGGTTACTTGTATGTAAAGGGAATAATGATACTGGCACTTTCCAGTGCACTTGCAAAATGCTTAGCATATAGTGGCTACTCAATAAATACAGTTACCTTCCTCTCCTTCCCCTTTTCCCCTCAAATTCCATGTATTTGTATCCTGGGCATATTTTACCTTATGGACAATGACAAATTCTTACTGTGTTTGATAATAAATCTGAACACAGTATATCAGAAGCAGAGACGAGGAAGTCTTGTGGCAATAGAAGATCAACAGACCAATCTTTTTCCTCTTTCTCCTCTGTGATCTTCACACCGGAATATCCCATGGGCTTATACTTGTAGGAAGCCACTGGACAAACCTCCTGACTGGGCAAACCTAGAAGATCTAGAAGATGTTGCAGAAGTCACAAATTTTCCAAACCTGATTCAATCTACACCTACGGGGGATTAGTAATCCGATCATTATCAGTGGGGACTATGATAAGCATAGACAAACCACAAGGGAGTGGTACAGATTTTTTCTTATTGATTAATAAAGGTTTTAGACTAGATATGTGGTTTCCAGACTTTCTGATAGCTATGGAGCCATTCTTCAAATGAAATCTCACAAGGAGTTCCAGTAAAGGTTGTTTTTTATAATTATAGGAGTTTGTGTTTGTGTTGTGTGTGACATGTGTTTTGTTGTTTTATCCCAGCACTTTTGAGAGCTGAGGGGTGGATACGGAGTCGCAAGCCAGCCTGCGAACGAAAGAGGGATCTGAAGGCACAAAAGAAGAAAACGGAGCTGGGGGGAGGAGCTGCCTTTGTAGTGGGATGGAGACCCACTAGCATATTACCCTCAACTTTTCCTTTAGAGTATGCTT